AAATACATGAAATACAGGCAAGTACTATGGCATTAACAAATAGATTGGGAGATTGGGGATGTTTTCATGCTCTATCACAAAGTTCCCAGACCAGTTTGAGCTAAGTTACTGTGTACTGGCTCATGGTTTGTAAAACAAGGATTCTCAGAAACACTGCGAGAATAAATACTCTTCAGAAGTGGGAGAAGAGCACAGTCACAGTAGCCACCACCAACAGAGAAGCAGAGGGCCTTGTTATCCATGGAAGTGTACAATAAAGAACCCAGAAACTGTTCACTAGGTTTGAACCCATCTAAACCAACTGCAGTTCTTGTAATGCTTAATCACAAAAGAGGTAGTAGAGAAAAAATGATGTGTTTTTACTCATTCCCAGAAAGCCCAAGTTTCCTGCTCCTCTCATGCTCTCTGAACAGTGTTCGCCTACCACCTACATACACCACCACCTACATACAACGCAAGAAAAAAGTAGAGAAGGCTCAAAGTTATCTCACACACAACGCAGAGAGGTCCCAAAGTACTGCCACGTCCTTCACTGGCAACCTCTGAAGACAAAGCATCCGAACAGGACACCAAAACAGATCCCAAAGCATATTCAGATCTTCCTTCTCCAGAGCTGCAGGCCATCGGAACAGCTTTTGGGGAATCAAATTCTATTTTATAAAGACACAGATGATATCACTTTCTGCTTTACTTTTCTGCCTAAATATTGCTGGTTAAAGAGTCAGCTGATGGACTGTAAAACTGACGGCCTCATTACCAGCATTTATAAATTGCTTTTGCTCAGCTGGAGTTAATGTAGGACCATCTGACTTCCCAGAATTGACATTTTTAATGATTCTGTTTCTCCAGCACTTTCTCACTGACCACTACAGAAGTCCACACTATCTCTTGCTCTGCCAAACTGTTTGCAGATCAACTGACTTGTTCTCTAGGGATCTGCAGTGTGTGAGCCATCAGGCCAAGCAAACTCAATAATAACTGACCTGAGAATAGCTCCTCCAATACTTCTGGGCTCTTCTGTACTATAGAGTCTAGCGTTAAATGTCAAAATTCTGAAGGCCAGAGGACAGATGCATCCTCAGGAGAAGGAAATGGAAAATGCCAACTGTAAATGTTTGGTGCTTAGATGGTGTACCCTCATCTCATACTCTGCTGGGCACCATTATCTTTCTTCAGGTCTTCCTTTGCTACGCCGTATCGCAGGTCAAGCAGAACAACTTCCCCTTCTAAATCATATTTCTGGAAAATTCTTCATGTCTCAGCACTATTTGGCTGAGATCTTCCCCAGGATGCAGAGAGATGCACGCTGTGGGCTGGGGCAGGCAGGAGCACAGTGCCCCTGCCCCAGGTGCATTCAGAAGAACTGCAGCTCCCTGCTCCAAGGGGCTGTGTCTGGGGACGCCCAGAGGTTACAAAGCTGTCTTAAAATTAAAGTCAAGTTAATTTTAGCTTTAGAAGAAAATCACTTAAAGGAAATGGATTTCAAAGAGGTAGCTTTAGATGAAAGGCACTTGGAAAAAAAGAGTTTCAAAGATAAATAGTCCATGCACATGTCCAGCAGATCTAAAGCTTTACAAGCCCTTCACAGTGAGTCTGGTTTCTCCAGGCACTCCAGCAGAACAATGGGGGCAGTTCTTCTGGCCTCCTGCCAGGTTTGGGGGATTTCTCCTGTTCTTAACAATCCCATTCCTGCTGACACAAGCTAGAGACTTTTCCCACCCTTCCTTTTCTCCTTAATACACCCCATAAACAAACACGTAACCAGGACCAGGTACAGACATGGGTCTGGACACAGCAGTAGCCCAGCGTGTGCCCACACACCCAGGGCCAGGGAACCAGGGCAGAAACTCCCACCTGGCACAAACTGGGAAGAGGGGAAGGGCTACACTACTGCAGCAGCATCTCAGGGAAAAGGAGCCCAGCACCACCATGGAGATGCAATAGCATCTCCCATTCCGCAGGCACTCCCAGCAAATGAGCCCTTCAAACACCTGGGTTCAGGTCCTTGCTTGGCCCCAGATTTTCAGTGTGAGGTCATGCAAGTCCCTGGTTTCTTTTATGCCTCTAAAACATAAATAATTTCCCTTCCTCTTAGGAGCACTGTGGGCATCATCAGCACACTGTAGATGGGGAAGGAAGCAATGTCAAAGAGCCATTAAGGTCATCTAGACAGAAAAAGAATAAATGGCTCTTTATGTAAGTGTTTGCCTGGTGGAATAAGAGTGGTGAGTCACAAATAGAGAGACCGATCCCACCGCATCCTCTCTTTTCTCACCTAAAACACCACTGCACGCAAGTCCCATCTAACTCCTAAAGATGAACTCAGCTCAGCCACAGCTTCATCCTGCCCCTCATGGCTGTCTGTGCAGACTCCAACAGCTTAAAAATAAAAGGCAATCCAAACCAGTCGGATCTGGTGACACATAACCCAGCCAGGCACTTCCAGAGAATGCAGAAATTCAACATCTACCCAGTCCTTCAGGTGTCTGCTCTGCAGCTGACCCAACCTGACAGACTTCGCAGGGAGCTTCTCCAATTTTCATCAGAGTCAATAAAACATAAGTTAGGGAGAAAAATCCTACCTTTTGCCGCACAGTCAATTTATTCCATGTCTGAAATGTTTTTGAAAGATAGCCTTTCCAAGGTCTAAGAAAGAGAGAATGAAGGCTGCAGGATGACACAATATTAAACATCAGAAACTGAACAGGACCCGTATGTTCTGAGGCAGATCTCCTGAAGAGATATTGCAGATTGCATTCTCCAGAACGGCTCTGTGCTAGGGCAAGGCCCCCTCACAACAGATGCTATTACACAAGGAATGTTAAGGCTATGTATTGTTTCACAGTCCAGGCCTGCTTGGTTTTTGTGCATGAGTATTGCAGCCTCTCCAGTCAGAGGGGTTTACTACACGCCAAGGATCACTTCACCCTCTGGTCACTGCTTTCTCATCTGCCTCATTTACCAATACATCTGATAGGCATCTCCTACCCGGAGCCTCTTCCTTCAGTAGCAAAGGTGACGGGGTGGAAACGCAGCCATGACTCCAGTTCAGTCTGCATCAGCTACGAACAGAGCTGTGCCTGATAACTTGTGCAGAACAACCTCCTCTGTAGGCCCAAAGTTCATGGCAACAGCCTATGTCATATACAACAGCATCTTGAGCAGTCTCTAGACATCCTTCCGGACAAACTAACCATTGCCCTGCACACTCCCCTGGGAACAGGACTCCTGTCAGATCCCTCCAGGGACCAAAACCAGAGGACACTGCATCAGCCACCCTAGCTGGGGTGGTTAAATGTACTAAGATCCCTGAGGAGTTATCAGTGCCATCTTCCTCCACGCTGCACAATGTGATGTCTGGTGTGTGGGGATACACCTGAGGGTTCGCAAAACGCTGCCTCTCTCACATTACAAAGCACTGGCACCCTCAGCCAGGACTGACTGACGCAGAGGCAAAGCTCTGCCAAGCCATCCATCCTGCTACTTACGATCCTGAAGGAGGCAAACAGCTTTAGATAACAGCCTAATGCCACCTTCTCGCTATTGCTAGCAGTCATACAGAGCTCACCAAGGCAGCCCACTGCACCCCTGAGTGCAGAAAATATCCTCCTCCTCTCACATTTTCTCTCAAGGCACCACAAAGATCCTGCCCCAAGGAAATGAGTAAGATAAGGACACAAAGCTGCTGATGCGACTCCCATCATAACCCCGTGTTTCTTAAACTTCCTCTGAGCACCGCCACCTCTTTAATCCAGCTTGCCAAAGCCAACCAGTAAGCCTTAAAAACTTTAGAATTATTCCCCCCGCCACAGCTCCTGTCCAGCCTGATGGGATAACAGGGCACATGAAACAGATCTGACATGGCATCCATCCAACCCCATGTTTTTCAAGCAGGAGTTAGTGGGACGGGGAGATATCAGACCTAATGCAAACTCAATATGCCCTCAAAGAGCAACCCTCCCACATAGTTCTTGACATATGCTCTTTGACTGAGTTCAGAGGACGCTAACAATGCTAAAGCAGGCTAGAGACAGCATTACAGAGGAAATACTGCCAGCTTAAATCAGAATTAAACATCCAGGGGAAGTGATAGCTGTTATAAAACAAGGTACAAAAGAGTTGGGGGGTTCCTTTATTTGATGAGCTTCTCAAAACAGCTACTTCTCTAATAGACCTTCTGTATAGATGTGGTTTATCTCCCACCAATTCACCTGAATGGTTCCCACTGGTTTTGATTGGAGCTTGGCTTGGAAACTGAGTATGCTGGGAAATGATACCAGTGCCCTTAGGCAAGCTGGGCAGGTTCCCTCCTAAACTTGTCCTTGTCCCACACCAGCTTTGACTCGCATCAGATGGACACATATAAACACTGATAAGCTATTTGCAGGTGGAATATATTAGTCCAGTGATTAAACACAGGGCCTATATGCACAATGGGAATAAACTTTATAAAGCTTTATAGAGTCTCTACAGGTTTCTCTGGCTTAACACTGCCAGTACAGGGCCCCACGGCTGGACCATACAGCCCTTAAAAATGCCAGAAAAGTGGCACTCACAAAAATGATGCTGAAGTAGCAAATAGGCTGATGAACACTTACCCAGCTACCCTATTTGCTTTGTCCTCACAGCAAATATATCCTCACACCAACCCATCTTGGGCAAAGGGAACTGAAATTTCCCCAGGAATCTCACTTGAGAAGTTATTTATTTGTCCACCCTTGGAGCATGACAACACTAAGCTCTGGGAATGAAGGAGCAGATGTGGAGCATTCAGAGCAGCTCTCCCCAAAATGAAAACTCAGGTCACGCTGCCTGGGACCCATCCCAGTTCAACCAGTTGTCACTGGTGGACGGAGTTTCCTCAGAAATGAGACTGCTCTGTGTTTAGCTTGAGAGCCAACCTGTGAGACTTTCTAGCACAAGGGACTGTCCCATGCAAAGTGAAAAGGAGGAGACATGTCCTCTGCAAGGGTAAAGGAAGAAAGGGCTTTTTCTCTTACCCAGACCCTGATTCTGCTGCTCCCACTCGATGGTGTCAGGAACCTGGTAGGACACCCCGGCCAGCTGGGCCACAGGGTTTTCCAGGCCAGCTATGGGCTCCTGGGAGGTATCGCCTGGAAGCGTGAAACCTGGCAGCTCCGTGTCACCCTCCATGCTTTCATCCATCAAATCTATGTCTTTGTCCTCCTCATCTTCCTCTTCCTCCTCTTCTTCTTCCTCCTCCTCTTCATCCTCTTCCTCCTCCTCACCCTCTGGCCAAGGAGACACAAAAGCAACAATCAGGAAGATCCCACAAGACAGAATCACAGAATCGTCTAAGTTGGAAAAGACCTTGAAGATCATCCAGTCCAACCATTAACCTCACATTGACAGTTCCCAGCTACACCAGATCCCTAAGGAAGGTTCATACATCTCTACAGGTGAGCACCAGGACAGCCAGCTGATACCAGTTCTCCAAAGGAAGATCAGCTGAATGAACTTGTGCCTGTTTTCTAACAGGAAACACACCCAAAGGGGTTAATTTGGCAGAGCTCAGCACCGTCTGAAGTTGCTAAGTAACAATGAGATGTTGTCTTAGACTGTCAAAGGCATTAGTGGGAAATACTGTTATTTGGCTTCCTAATAGGAGAGTACAAACACACACGTGCAAGTGTACAAATACCTGAGTACATATAACTATGGTGCTCTCCGCTCAACTAATTTCAGCTCAAGTGAGAACCATTTCCCTGATTTCCAATCTCGGAGGCAGAAATAAGTTGATTCTATTTTTAACTTTTACTAAGCCTTTCACAGCTCTGCAAAGGACACCACTTTCCAGCCCAATTAGACCGATACGGCCCCTCCTCCAGAAAAAGCATCTCGCTTTGATGAGCGCTGGCAGATCAGCTCTTGGGTGCAGGAGAACAGGGGTGATGGTAATGAACCTCAGCAGGATCCTCAGCAGTTTTATACCGGCACTCCTGTCACAATGGATTTACACCAGACAGCGGTATGACCAAGGAAGACTTAATTCAGAATCAGAAAGAAGGCAGCACAGCCAGCACTTCGTGTGAGAGCAGAAAAATGTGACACCAAGAAAATCCCTGTGGCTTCTCTACTAGAACAGATACCCGTCTTACTCCAAAGCTGACTGTACTGTTGACATATGGAGAAATAAATATTTAAGGTATATTTCATTGCTAGAATCTAAAATGGCAACACAAGAATGACCACACTGGATCACACCAAAGGCCCTTTCTGCCCACATCCTATTTCTGACCACATCTAGCCCCAGATGCCGAAGGAAGACTAAAGCAGGGCACACCCAGAGCCAGTCTTCCCACAGTCTCTCTTCCCAGATTTTAGTTATCAAAGACTCAAGAACTTCCTGAGCCAGAATTTGCATCCAAGCTATTTAATAGTTACTAACTGAGCTACCCACCATAAAAAGATAGTATCTGGAATAATGACATGCTTTGCATTTCTCATGGTTAGTTTTTCAAAGCTGAAAACTAAACCACAGTATTTATGCACTTTATCTAATTTACATGATACTCTGCTCAGCCCTGTAGAAAATCTCCCTCCTGATGTACTCAGACTAGGAGAACCCATCACCCTGCATCTGAACAGCTGGTTTAGCCGGGGGTCTAAGACCATGTTAAAAACCAATGATCCAGCAAAATTAACATTTGTTATCGAGATATCCCTTTATTTCCCTCGGAGTTGTACCTCACACAGGTTACAGGCATTGCAATAACATGGAACAGCTAAGGTAGGACACCTGAGGGGCTGCACATGTCACACCTGCTATAAATAAAGCAGGTGATGCTTCACGCTTCTCCTTTCTGCTGTGGGATGCAATGGCACTCCAGCAAAGCTGGTCCACAAAACACCCAAGAAACAAACTGGGGAACTTTGGGGAAGCTCTTTAGTTAGTGTCTATCCCACCTGAATTAACTGGGGGGAGCTGGCCTCCTTCCTCTGGCTTCTACTTCACAGACTGGAATACCTAGAGGAATCAGTGTACATTACAAAACCATGGCATTCACTGCGCTGTTACATGACATATCCTTTCCTTCTAATTCAAGGATTTACTTTAAAACACTGCATGGTTTTTTTTCCAGCTCACCAGACAAGACAATCCCGCTTGCCACCTTTCAATTCTAGCCCTGTGTTTCATACAAATGAGCTGCTGTTTGAATTTAGCTGCATCATCCTACTCTAGCATGGCTTTCAGTACCTGGAAAGGAACGATCACTCCTGCAGCTAGACCATGCAGAGCATCTAATGGAGCTTACAGGGATGTAGTTAGCCCCTTAAATTCCCATTACATTTTACAGGCGGTTTCTGTCTTATAATGTGCCCGTCGTTTCAAATCAACATAAGAATTTTCTCTATCAAACTGCATGTTTTCATACAAAATACGGAGCTTCTGTAAACCTGAGAGTGGCACCTGGAGAGTGCTTGCAGGAAACCTGCAAAGACAAGTTAATGTAGGTCTTTTGCCTCTGCTGAGAGCAACACAGCTATAAACATTTCCAAATTTTAACAGAAAAGCCACTAAAGAGCTAGCACACCAGAGAAGAGAAACATGAACAACAGAGGGTTTTTTCCTAGATGGACTGGGTGAAAAAGCAGCCGAGAGGAAACAGGGATCAGATTTTTATCTCTGAAAAACTAGTAGGGGACAAGGTTTTTAGAAGCTTCTTGTGATTTGAGCAAGCCAAATCAAAGACACCTGCCAGGACCTAGTTTTGAAGCAGCAGATAGCCATCTCTGTACCTTCAAAGTCTAGCAGGCAGCCAAGCTGAACACCCAAATTGAAAGTGCCAAGACTACTTATCACATCTGATCATCACCAAGCTACATCAATCATCACACAGCCACAGCATAAGGATGTGAATAATGTAGCCCTTGTAGCAAAACCGCTGCAAGGGGAAAAGAAAAGGCTCTTAACTTGTTTCCCTCCTCCTCTAGCACATTCCTACTTCTGAGAAAAGCTTTTTAACCCCCCATCCCAAAATGCCAACAGCTTGCCTTGCTGCAAGATGCAGCGCAGAGCACCACTTCGTGGTCACAAGGAGGAAGCTACACTTCTAAAAAAAAAAAAAAAAAATCACAGACTTCATAAATAGTGGATTACAGAAGCAGAGGAGCACCAGGAGCCTGGCAGCTGTGAGCAGGCTGTGAGTAATGCCTGATAGTCGCATAAGAGGGAAAATGGAAGCCAGCATCACACAGCTCAAGCTGGAGATCTGTGCTTCACACAAGAACCTTCTATAAAAATCACTTTTTCCCTCCTAAAAAGGCACTTTTTGGCCTTTCAGAGGCCTTAGCAGCAGCTTGAAAGAAAAGAAACAGAAGAAACTGAAAGCAGAAAGGCCAGCAGATTCGGAAGGCATTCAGATTTTCACGTGCATTTGCAGACCACTGAGAACTACTTTAGGTATCATTGAATCATTTAGGTTGGAAAAGAGATTTAAGGTCCAACCGTTAACCTCGCACTACCAACTCCACCACTAAACCATGTCCCTAAGCACCACATCTATGCATCTTTTAAATACCTCCAGGGACAGGGACTCCACCACTTCCCTTGGCAGCCTGTTACAATGCTAGACAAATTTTTCCTCATATCCAACCTAAACCTCCCCTAGTGCAACTTAAGGCTGTTTTCCCCCCATCCTATGTCGTTACTTAGGAGAAGAGACTGACCCCCACCTCACCACAACCTCCTTTCAGGTAGCTGTAGAGAGTGATAAGGTTTCCCTTGAGCATCCTTTTCTCCAGGATAATAAACAACCCCAGTTCCCTCAAACTGCATACTCCTTCAGTCTGGGCTAAGGTTCATCTTACAAAAAAAAGAGAAAAACATATGATGAAATGCTAGTGCCTTATGGTCAAGGCACTAGTCTCCAACCAAAAAAAAAAAAAAAAAAAAAAGCAAGTATAAAGTTTTCTTAGCCACAGAATCCAAATCAGGCATTCACCTAGAGCCCAGCTGTAGGAACACTTCTGAACGTCTGACAGTGGCCAGAAGTGCCCCTTGCTCGCTGAAGCAGACGGGTACACAGCACCTATAGGAGCTTCTGCTGTGAGCCATCCTTGTTCTACAGATCTTCCTATGTTTGTTACAGATAAGCCGATCCTGTCATTCTGTTTGCACCCACGGAATCCTCGCTGTTGTTTGTGGTGTGCCACACAGACCTATCGGGGAGGGGCGGTATCCTGTCTCCTCTCCTGGTAGCACTGAGACTTCAGCACTGAAATACTTAATAGTCCAAGCAGACGTTTGTATTTTCTGTACAGTTCAGGTAACGCAAGAGTAATCTAGGGCAGGTAAAGTCTCATCTCCAAGAGTGAAGAAATCCAAAATCCGTCACTCTTTGACGGACTAAATAAGCACTGTATTCTGTAAAGTAGGCTCTGCTTTGCCTTCATTGAAACTGGAAAGCAAAAAACCCAAGAAACATAACACTTCCCTGCTGTGACAACAGTACAATCTAAGAAAGATGCAAGCAGCAGGAATCTTCAGGAAAATGAGATTCCCACTTCACACGTCAAAGATTTTAGATTTGAAGGACTTGACAACCTTGTAAGAGGCATTCAAATTTTCAGGTTTGCAGGAGCTATAGGAGACCACCAAGAAAACAAGTCTGAGACAAAATAACAAATTTTTAGCAGAGTTTTTGGGGGTTCCCAGCTTTATTAATAGTCATCACCAGAAGTGGCAATGGTTGAGCTTTATCACAGGACTCCATACTGATCCATTAGCAATGTTGGTGATAATCCACAGGGTGGGAGTTGCTATTTCAGGGTGGCAAAAGCTCCCTATGCTTGCTTCAAAAAAAGGTTTTTCACTACAAAGCTGTACTTATCTGACTCAGCAGAGAGATGAGACCACCTCACGCATCATTTGCCTGCCCCAGCAGGAACCCACAGAGTCTGAAGCAGTTAAACAGAAAGCCTCAGCCCACGATGGCAGGAGGGCCCTCACAAATCAGCTACAAAGAGGGACCTTGGCCCCTCCAAACCATCCCATGCTGCACAGATGAAGACAACAGGACCAGCTCCTCCTCCTGGCAACTCAAGTGCCAACAACCCATTCCTCAAAGATGGCTTCAGTGAGGCGTCACGCCTCTCTATAGGAGCCACACAGCTGCAGAGAGCCACGTTCCTCCTGAGCAGGAGGAAACCCAAATTACTTGCAGTGCTGCTATATCAGCACAGGGCAGCAGCTGTAAGCCCATGCCGCGGGGAAGCGGCACCAGCCAGG